ATCACTACTACAACAATAAAGCATATAAGCCTATATTCAAACACACAGACAGATAAGCATATGAGCATATCAACATTCAATCAGATAGCAGATGAGCTATAATCAATACCACAATAGATAAGCATTTACACATCAACAGATAAAGCATATAAGTTGTATTCCACACTCACTAGACAAGCATATGAGCTATATCTAACACTCACAAGATAGCATATGAGCTGTTATCTTCACTATCTCTAGACAACATATGAAGCTTATCTACACTCACAAAGATAAGCCATATGAGCCTGTTATCTTCACTTTCTCTAGACAAGCATATGAGCATGTATCTACGGATCATCCCCATCTCCTCCCGAATCCTAATCGTTTAGAGTACATCCCCCATCTCCCCTAACCGCGAGTAATTCCTCCCATCTCCATCCTCTACACAAGCATATAAACACAAGATTTCTAGTACACAATGTAACGCATGGTAACACAGAATCACAACGCAATCAAATCAATACATAAGTTAATGTTATTCCTATCAACTGTCTATACATAATGCATATAACACATTCGTCAATATACCAACAATCACTCAAACATAAATTAATGTATTCTAATCAAACCGATCATACCTCTATGACACATCCCGATTGATTAGTTTTAGTTTGCCCTAATCATCAATGCATTGTCACAACAATCAATACTACCCTCCACCGGTAGCCCAAAGCAATTATTCTAAACGGAAATAAAGCACAAATGGATAATATATCAACATTCCAATTAGTGACAACAAATGATTGCTCTGCACTCTTTAATCCCATAACCTTCCCAATGTTTCAACATTCTCAATTCAATTCCTCGATTTCTTCAATTAATTATATGCAGTTAATTAATTAAACCAATTAGGGCACGATTACATAATTCAACAAAAAACAACCCTAAGTTCCATTTTCATCAAATGTCCAACATTATCCATTTCTCTAATGCCTAACATGATATAGGTTTTATAATTTAAAACCCGACTTTTGTAAAATACACAAAAGCCAAACTTTGCTCAAATTACCCAACAACCCCCCGGACAATCAAACATGCTTTTTAAAATTCAAAGACATAGTCATAAGATGGAATAGGTTCCCTACCTCGAATGATGAGGGATCAACGAAAGATGAAGAAATGAAAAATGCTCCAAATCCGAAATTCATATGAGAGATAGCCCTCGACGATCAAACACAACTTTTTAAGGCCCAAGTGAGAAAAATAACTCATACTAGATCATCCTAAGAGAGAAGTTAGGGTTTTAGGAGAGGAGCTCTCAAAATACCTTTTTGAAAAAAGTAAGAGAGAGAAAAGGATGTTGAAAAGTGAACCAAAAAGTCGGGATCTCGGCTTTATATAAAAGTCGCCCCGCCGAGCGTCCGACTCCCCGCTCGGAGAGGTCACTCACAGATCCCCGCATCGAGCGTCAATAACCCCGCGTCGAGCGCGGATGCACGCTCCCAGAACTTTTACAGACCATGATGCCCCTCGAGCCGTCTCAAACTCCCCGCTTGAGCGTCAGACACAGTACCCCGCCCCTCCGAGCTCCAATCCCTGCTCGGCGTTTAACCACTGAAGACGAATACTGATGGGGTGATTCCAACCGCTCGCAGCGACAAGCCAAAACAGATCCCGCCGAGCGTCAAAAAAGCGACGCTCGACGGAGAAACCAAAACTGGGCAAAGACTTTACGTTTTCAAAAACGCAAACCAAACTTATTTCCAACTTTGCCAACACAACCAAAGCTCGAACACCAAGAGAAAGGGATATAAACGCAGGATAGACCACACAACGAATCTACGCGAAGCCGAGTCCGGCCTACAGTTTAAAACAACAGCAGAAATTACCGGACCGCTTATGAAATTGGAAATGAAGACATGAAAAATAAGTACTAACTGATGCCTGAATTTTTAAGTTTAAAAACTGTTCGATAAAGAATTTAAGTGCCTGAATTAAAATAAATTATTGATATGTATAAATTAAATTTGAAATATAATTTTAATTTTTATTGATGTGATGTGGTGGTGATGGTGCTGTGAATATGGTTAGTGTAGTGGTAAGTCGGTGGGTATGGATATTGGTGGCGACTAATGTGGGTAGCATATAATTAGTAATAAAAATGGTTGATGTCTTGCATAATAAACAATGTTAATGAAGTGATCAGTATAGCGGTGGTAGGTTGCGACTGCATGATGGCCGGTGGTGGTAGTGGTAGTGGTAGCAGTGACATGGTGGTGGTGGTTGTGGTGGTGATGGTGGCGATAGTGGTGGTGACATGATGGTGGTGGTTGTGGTGGCAATGGTGGTGGCAATGGCAGTGGCAGTGGCATGGTGGTAGTGGTAGTGGTAGCGATAGCGAGGGCATGATGGTGGTGGTAGTAGTGGTAGCGGTAGTAGTAATGAGTTTATAATTGTTTATATCAATATTTATGTTTAATATTTATAAATTCAGTCAGAATTAAGTAATTTTATATGACTTAAATTTTTCTTAAGTTTTAACCTACATTTTAAGAGGCACTTAAATTTTTAAGTGATATCAATTATGGTTATCAAACGAACTTAATTGATTATCACTTAATCAATTCAGTTTTAAGTGTTGAATCATGCTATCAAACACCTCCTATGTAACGCCCCCATTTTCATGCCCAAATGGTAATACAATAATCATGGGCATTTAAAGCAAAACTGATAATAAATCTCCATACTTGTATTACATGATATAAATAGTCTTCATGTGATAATATAATTAATCCAAGAACAATTAATTAAACAACAAATAACCCCAAGGGTTTACAAGTTTCCAAGGCTTGAGCCTGGTTACACAAAACGGTTATTCAAACCCACACATACAAAGCCCTTGGCTTATAATCAGAGTCACAGTAAATGAGCACATTATGCTCTCTACACACACTTCCACGCCTTCAGTTAGGCGGAAACACCACATCTTTTCCTGCACAAAAATCCCGTAGGGTGAGCATAAAGCCTAGTAGGAAATTCTTAACAAAGTATATATATTTTATACAAGTCTCAAAAGATGAAATGCACGTACCATGCTATGCCCTTTTTGAACGTAAAACACACCTTCATTTTTTCAAAAACCATCATGCTCAATGATGTCATACAATTTCAATTGTTAAAAACTTAACAATTTATTTCAAGAGCAGTAAATACGTCTCTAGTAATCCCTAGGCTGGTGTCTGCAAGTAGACTATACGAGTATTACCAAATTGACATTTTTACCGGTATTTACCGGAAGGCTCGACACCTATCCGCGCGGATTTTTTGATCTTTCACCTCGGACCGGTAGGCCAACTTATTCTACACCACCTATCTAGACTTACCAACATATTTACCCCAAAACTATTTCATGAAAACTTATTTCTCAACATTCTTTTCTCAATACAAGTTTTCAAATCAACCTTCAAAGTCTAATGTAATAAAATGAAATGATATGCCAATTTCACAAGATGAACATAAATACTTTTATTCCAATTCATCATCCAAAGAATAACACAATTTCCTCTTCTCAAATATTCTCAATAGTTTAGTCATTTCAAGACTATATCAACATTCTGAATAACCATTTCTAAAATGAACAACAATTCTCATAATCCACAAAATTAATCATTTATACAAATATAAATAAGAAATTTTATAAACATTATTTATTTTGGCACACAAAATTAAATATAACAATATTATCCATGGATTTGCAATCTCTTTTAAAATCTCCAATTTCTAGATTTTCTCACCAAACTACACAGCTCAAATCTTTTGGCAGAAAACTCTCGAAAATCATCTTTTCTTCAATCAACAAAGATCAAAACCCATGAGATTATTTTAAAAGAACAAGAGACAAACCCACTTTCAAAATCGCTCAACTTCTTAAATCAAAATAAATTTTCAAAAGCTATCAAATGGTGATTTTGAAAAACCATCTAGATCTTGCAAAAATATATATATATAACTCAAAGAAAATCCCTACCTCAAGTTAGAAGAGGAAACAAGCCAAAAATCCAATTTTTCAATTTTTGCCGGATTTTGATCTCCACCGATCAAAATGTTGCTCTCACCAAGCTCCTCACTTTGGCTTGGCGTTGGGATTGTTGAAGAATTTAATAACAAATGGCTGATTGCTAGGGTCATTGTTAAAGAGAGTCACAATAGGGGTACTTGCTTCTTCAACAAACTCCTTAAGAGCATCCACATTAAAATCTTGGAAATCAACAACAAACTCATCAAATGGCTTGAACAACCTGACTATAAGACTAGTCACTGATGATTCCCCACGAGGCAGGAGTTTTGCATTCAATGTGTGACCAAACTCATAGTCAGACCGCAATTTCTTAGTAAGAGCTGTAAAGTTCTCAAACTTCTCTCCAGAGAATTCTAGAAACACCCCAACAACAATAATCTTTTCGCCATCAATAAGAGCATTAGCATCTTCTGCAGATTTTATTTCAGCAGACGCACGGTGTCTCACATCGGGAATGGAGGGGGAGTTCCTGGGCTATAAAAGTAAAAACCTAGACCCTTATATAGCATCGAGGCCTTTTTCCGGGTGGTGAAATCCCTAATAGAACTCCACAGTTAAGCGTGCTTAGGCTGGAGCAGTTCTGGGATAGGTGACCCACTGGGAAAAATAAATCCGTGCGGGCGTGGCCCAAAGCGGACAATATCGATGACGTGTGAAGGGTCGGGGCGTTACAGGGCCACTTTGCTTCTTTAAATAAGCAACAATACCTTCAGCATCCCGAGGTCCTTTGTATTCTTGAATATGCTTCCTTCCATTTCTCAAGATCTTAATTGTGGGGAAACCACTAATCTCAAATTCACTTATAAGTCCCTTGTTCGTTTCAACACTGGCATCAATTTTTGCTGGAGTGACTAGAGGATCGTGACTACTGAGTACAGATGCAGCTTTCTTATACTCTGCAGCAAGCTTCTTGCAGTGGCCATACCATGGAGCGTAGAACTCGACGATGATGAAATATACTCTGCAGCAAGCTTCTTGCAGTGGCCACACCATGGAGCGTAGAACTCGACGATGAAATCGTGCTTGTTAACAGTCTCGTGGAAGTTAGAGTGATCTAGATTCAGAACGAACTCTTTCGACTCTGAGTCCTCGATTTCAGAAGCAGATGTGTACTCGGTTTCAGAAGTAGATGTCCCTACGATGAGAGAGAGAATGAAGACAAACATGCATATCCATAACCTAGATGCCATTGCTGTTAAGCTTTTTCTCTCTAAAAATCCCCTTCTCTTTCTCATCGAGAACATTCTGAGTTCGAGTGGCTCCAATGATGATCTCAGTGCGTATTGGAGTGACCCTGACCTCGACTCCGGAGTACCCATCCTCTGCTAGCTCTCTCATCAATACCTTATTCAGCTCCGCAAAGAACACTCCATCAGCTACGAACTTTCTCTTCTTGCTCATCTGAGCTGCCGTGCTTAGAAATTGGGCGCCCATGAGGCTTGACCCTTCTTTGAACCTTTTGAACCTTATCCAAATAAGTTTGAATTTGAATTCAAAACCTATTTGGATAACCACTCAAGATATCTATATCTATCATATCAACTATAACTGATATGGATAGATATTTTATATATCCGATATAATATGGGATATGGGTGATTAAGAGAAGAATAACGTATGTCATATGTTTTTCCCATATACTAAGTCTCTCACCCATCTACTGACTCTCTCCCAAAATACAACGATCAAGAGCCATTTTGCACTGTGACTTGTGTGGATGATATTCGTCTGTAATATCACTCCATTGATGGGTTGATTGATCAGATTTAGATAGCACAAGATTTACCCACGAGGTTTTATCATCTAAAAGTATGATTTAAATATTTTTTCCGCTGCGTTATAATGCTTTCTGATTTACATTGGTATCAGAGCCTATATGGGTATTTTCGTACTTATTTTTATGCGATAAAATATGTATAATTTTATACAAATATACATACACATTATATGCATGAAAATTAGATTGAGAGTGTGATACATCTCATTTTTATGTCCATTAAATGTCATTTTTGAGACCATAAATGTATTTATTTTGGAAAATGGAGTCTGACAGTACAAAAATCGAGCCAGAAAACAACCTGGAAGGCGGAGCGTGGGCCTCACGCGCCACCTGACGCCGTGGGAGGCTTTCACGCGCTGCCACGCCCTTTCACGCGCCTCCATGCGCCAGACCCAATTCAAACGCGCTTCCACGCGCCGTGCGCTAAGCCGCGTGTGAGCCGCTCCCTAAGCCGCGTGTGAGCCGCCACCGAGCCGTCTCTGAGCCGCCACTGAGCCGCGTGCTGAGCCATGCCGTTTTTCCTTCGCAGCTCAGCTGGCTTGGCTGCTGGTACTGAGGCGCTGTTTGTTCTGTTTTGAATTCTGAATCACGTTAAATGGTTATAATTAATTCGTTATAGCTTCGTTTTAAGCATAGTTGGTATTGTTAGATTCAGAATTATATTTTCTATCTTTTGTAAAATTTTCAAAATTTTATGAAAATAAAAAATATTTTTCCTGAAATAATAATTCATTATTTCTGCTTTAAAATGCATGTAGTGTTGCATGATTAATTTTCTGAGGCTGAATTTTTTATTGTAGACTATTGTTGTAGTTTACTATTTACTGGTATGGTTATTGCATTTTATCAGATTCTGGAATATTTATTTCTAATTTTATGTGTGTTTATTAGTTATTTAAAATTCCAGAAAATACCAGAAAATTTCAGAAAATTTCAAAAGTGATATACTTTCTGTTATGGCATAATTTGAATATTAAATACAGCATATTATTATTTTTTGCCTAGAGTTTCTAATATGTTGTAATTAGAATAGCATGATCAATTGTTATTTGTTTAAATTCCATTATTAATTGTGACATAGCATGAGTTGATTGTGAATCTACATTATGATGCTATTGTATGGAATTAGAATATTTTATCATATTTTTTAGACATGCCATAATCAGTGGGAGGTTGTTCGGTTGATAGAAATCTTTGTAGATTTACTCCTGAAAACTAATGTTTTGCATATGAATTAAATTAAATTTTGGATAATTGTCATCTGTGGCGCAAGAGATGATTACGAGCATAGCGGTTTTTCGATCTTGCGACTTGTGTAATATTGTCACTATTTAATTTAGATTTTTGTGGCAAAATTATATTATGCTAATCAAATTAATCCCAATGCGAATTTCTCTCTATATTGATTTAGCTTATGAAAGTTAATTTGGTTGACCTATACTTAGTAGAGATGTTCAAATGTGAACAATCTAATCCCATTCTTTAGATGATCAAAAGTCTTGGAAACTTTTGGTCAAATCTTAATTGAGCCAAAGTAAGGAAACATGACTCAAAGTCGTCGTGTTTTTGTTGCCTTGTTTGGCATAATAAAAACTAATGTGTGCGCTATGGTTAGTGGCACGCTACGTAGTTTTGGTTGGCGAGTTTTGGAGTTATGAAATTAGTAAGCCCTCAATAGATCTGTATATGATCTTGACTAATGAGCTGCGTGGATTGACTTTGTAATTTGACTTGTAAATAATGTTACATCATTGGATAAAGTAACATTCAAGAGTCACGTCATCCAAAAAATGCAAGCTTAAATAAATTAGTCATTAAGTGTAAGACGAGTAACCAGTATGAGCAGTGTTTTGCTCTCTACCCAATTATTAGGACTGGATGGAGCAAAATTTCATGCACTATAATAGTGTGCGTTGAAATATCACATGAAGTTAAAAGATTAGCGCTTAGAAGCTGCAAAATCTATTAACACTAAGTGAAAAGATTAGCGCTTAGAAGCTGCAAAATCTATTAACACTAAATGAAAAGATTAGTGCTTAGTGGCTGCAAAATCTATTAGCATTGCCAACTTGTCTAAGTCTGGATACTTACTGTTTCCACACTTGAGTGTGAGACATGAGGAGGGGCTTCTTTCTATGATTTCTTAGCTGGGCTAACGTTTTTTGAATAACGTTTACCACTAAGCGCAAACGTTGCAGCATAGTAATGAAAAGGTCAAGGCCGACAAGGTTGTTATGACTAAGAATTTGACGCATGGCTCGTGAAAGCATTGTGTTGAATTAGACTCTTTAGCCTAATTCGCGCTTAAGTTACTTCAGAAGCTGTCACAGTTGATAGCTTATTCTCTCCTTCTTGTGGATAGTAGAATTAATTGCAAGTAACTATGAAGCGAAAAATAGATATGGCAAAAGGAGTATCATCATCTTTCAACTAGATGCATTAAAGTGTATGGAGAATAAAATTGACTTAAAGGTGCAGAGGATTAGCACTTACTAGTTAAATTTGCGACTTAGGTACACTTGATATCTCCATGACATCCCTTTTATGATCTAGTGAATATGAATTAGTCATGAGTCATTACCTAGTTTGGCCTAAACCTTTAAAATTTGTCTTCGAGAACTCACACATTAAGATGATTGGAATTAGTTTATGACATTGGTCATGAACCAGTGGCTTATTATACTTAATCACATTAATGAGATGATGACACGATGGTTTGAGTAGGCCTTCTCGAGCCCACTCACTTATGACATCCTGCTCTCATGTGAATGTGTAACTTTGTTCGCAATGGGTGCGCACAAGTAAGTAGGAAAGCCGCAGAAG